CATCATCATCATCAGCATCAGCATCAGCATCATCAGCATCATCATCATCATATCATCATCCATCATCAGCATCATCATCATCATCATCAGCATCATCAGCATCTCATCATCATCATCATCATCATCATCATCATCATCATCATCATCGTCATCATCATCATCAGTCATCTCATCATCATCATGGCATCATCATCATCGTCATCAGCATCATCATCATCATCATCATCATCAATCATCAGCATCACCATCATCATCATCATCATCCTCATCCTCATCCTCATCCATCCTCATCAGCATCATCATCATCATCATCATCATCATCATCATCATCATCATCATCATCATCATCATCATCATCATCATCATCATCATCATCATCATCCACCATCATCGTCATCATCAGCATCAGCATCAGCATCATCAGCAGCAGCATGATCATCATCAGCAGCAGCATCATCATCATCATCGGCATCAGCATCACCATCATCATCATCAGCAGCATCATCATCAGCCATCATCCATCATCATCATCATCACCATCAGCATCAGCATAAGCATCATCGCCATCACGATCATCATCATCATTATCATCATCAGCATCGTCATCGTCATCATCATCATCATCATCATCATCATCACCATCATCATCATCATCATCATCATCATCATCATCATCATCATCATCATTATCATCGTCATCATCATCATCATCAGCAGCAGCATCATCATCAACAACAGCATCATCATCAACAGCATCATCATACTCATCAGCATACTCATCATCATCTTCGTGCTCATCCTCATCCTCATCCTCCTCCTCTTCCTCGTCCTCCTCCTCCTCCTCCTCCTCCTCCTCCTCCCGAGCCGCGATGGCGAGGCCCTGAGGGGATGCAGCTGATGCTCTACGCCGGAGTGAGCTGCCTCTAGACGGATCTCGGCGCCAAGCTCGGTCTCTTCTGAAAGGGTTTCGGCGGCGTGAAGGAGGAAGGCTGAGGTCGGCACCTGCAAGGAAGGCCCAGTCAAAGGCGCGGACTATGGCGGCCCTGGGGGATCGGAAGGGGCAAGCTGTGGTCAGCAAGATGGCCATTGGCTTCGGGCTGGGGGACACGCTCATCGAGAAGAAGTGCAAGGCGAGACGCTACCTGGAGGAGGCCAGGGAAGAAGCGGAGAAGGCGATACGCCCAAACGCCTCCTCGGCGCACCAGGGTCCTGCAGGCGGTCTGGATGGACAGCGAAATCGCGAAGGATGCTCGCAAGGCTGCCAGGAAGAGCTTCGTGGAGCAGGTCAGCTCGCGGAGGCAAGCTGTGGGGACGGTTGCCACGGAGCCGGTCGCAGGCACGGAGTCGCAGATCAAGGTGAACCCGTTCGAGGCGGCCGAGGCGGCGGCAGCGAAGGGTGCAGCAAAGACGGCGAAACTGGCCAGGCGGGATCGAGCGCGGTGCACCTCGCGCAGTTCCTCCCGGGGGGAGCTGCTCAGGAAGGCCCGCACTCGCAAAAATCGCTGGCTGGCGAAGTAGTCGAAGGTGTTTTGGCAAGTGCACTGTTTTGGCCCATCCTCACATGGCTCAATAAGGTGATCGTGCTGCTGCTGAACCTCACTCATTGTTTGAAGGTAGCACTGTTTAGGCCCACTCTTGCGACGTTCAAGGTGGTGATCGTGCTGCTGGAGCTGGCACTGCTTCGGCCCATCCATGCAAAGTTCAGGGTGGTATTGGTGCAGCTGGAGTTCAGGAGGAGGCTCAACCTCAACCTCAACCTCAACCTCAGCCCTTCACTGTGTTATTAGGGTCAGCGGTTCTTTCATTTTCGATGGGCCGTGGTTCCCGATGCCTTCCCCCAGGACCAACTTTTCTTCCGACGCAACATGTTGACAGTCCCGCGGCCCAGAGAGTCCGAGGAGCCCAAAAGCTGCAAACTCCGGGACACCTGTCCTGCATGGCCCGGGGTTTAAAAACCAGCCCCTGGCCTACCCGTCCCGGGATGCGTCCTGAGCAGAATTTCAAATGGAATTCCGCCATGGCGACGAGGAAGCCCTCTGGAGGCCCAAAGAAGCAGGGAAACGCACTCTGAGGGGCAACGACAGGGGGGACTGACACAAGGGGGGACACGTCGACCTGAAATCGGCAGTGCATCGCCGATAGATCGGCGATAGGCCCCCGATGATGAATCCGCACGTTCCCGGGCGGGTTGAGGCTATCGGGCCACTATCGGCGATCAATGGGCGATTGGGGATCGATGCGTCCCCCCCAGCGCCTATCCCCCCTTAGCTTAAGTCGGGCGTGTCCCCTCCCCCTACAGGGGTACTTTCGACGAAAAATAAAAAATACCCCCAAAATAGTCCAAAAATCGTCAAAAAATAGTCTGGGGACTATTTTTTGAGTATTGTTTGACCTTTTGGGGGCATTTTTGGGGGTATCTATTATTCGTCGACGAGAATCCCCCTGTAGGGGGACGTGCCCGACCTAACCCTTAGCGTTGCCCCCGATCCTCGCAGCTCCCGGGCCACCTCCCTCCGCGCGCCGCGCCCTGCGATCGCGCGGTGCGCAGCCCTCGCCACCCCCTCGCGAGGCCAGCCATGGAGAGGGGCAGCTGCCCGGCCGAGGCCGCGACGCACGCGCGGCGCGCGGCTGCCTTGGCGCACCCACGGGCGACCCAGGGGCACCTCGTCTAGGCCAGCGCGTTCCACTACAGGGCAGTTTTAACACATAGGATTTATAAAAAATATGGGATGCTTAATACATGATTCATAAATAAGTAAATTTATGCATGGCCTCATCGTTGTTTCTAGTACTGAATCCCTGCATTTTTATTGCATGATCCGCACGCGGAGCATGTATTAAAAACGGCACTGCACTCGCAGAATAACTACTCGCTCATGGCCTGGATCTGCCGCGTGGGACTCATGGTCCACCAAGTAGAGGGAGTCATGTGTGTTTTATTCGGACGTTTCCGAGTAGGCACCCTGCGAGCAGTGGAACGAGCTCGGTGATCGTCCCTCGCCCCCTCCCGCACCAACGCCGCCACCGCGCGCGCGGCCGGCAGCCTGTTCTGCAGGTCCGTGCTGGCGCCGGTACTCAGCAGCGCCCGCGCGTCGGCGGCGCACGCGGCGGCGCATAGCAGGAGCGCCGGGCATACGGAGAGCCGCATCGCCTGAATACTGGGAGGGGGGGGGGAGGGGGGGGTGTGGCATCGGGTAGGAATCGCGCCCCTGCTCCGATCGGAGGATTGGTCCGGAGCAAGCTGGACAAAGCGCAGGGACCAGACGAAGATTGCAGCGAGTTCGCGCCGCGATTACAGCTACGGATGAGCCGGCAGGGAATCCCACCAGCCCTGCAGAGCGTACTGCAGATCTCGTAAATAAAGGGAGGGGGTCTGGACCCTCCAGGACAAGCCATTTCAGACCCCCCCCGTGGGAGAACCCTCCAAACATCGTCCCCAGACCCCCCCAGACCCTCCAAGATAGCCTGGAAGAGACCCCCCCCGAAATGAGACCCCCCTCCCTTTATTACGAAATCTGGAGTAGGTGGTTCAGGAAGCTCGTTGTTTAAACCCCCTTTTCCTCTTTGGGGGGGTATATAAATGCTCCCTGTAAACTAACACCCCATCGCACACTTGACTGGCGACCGACAGGGAACTATGCGGACCCCCTTTTCATCATCATCCCTGCCTGCAACATCGTGGTCATGGTTGGGCGCCCCGAGATCACTTCACACTGTGTCTTGACAGGGGCGGCGGGGGAGAGCATCATATTTCCCCCTGCGAGCAGGCCCACCGTCTTTGTCAAGAACCGATGCACAATGATCGTGGACGCACGCACAATACACCATGCTGGCAACCCCGCCGTCATTTTGCAACCACTTTTGAAAGGGATGGGGGGGTCAACATACTGCCTGATGAGTTGTGCGACGTGCGGTGGCACACCTGGCGCGCTCTTCGCATGAAGCACACGTGGCACACCTGGCGTGATTGGAATATGCGGCACACTGTGCGCATGCGGGTCGGTGTGCATCTGGCGCACCGGGCGCACCTGGTTCGCGTGGCGCACCAGGCACGCGCGGCGCACTTCGCGGGCGTCGTGCACCTGACTGGCTCTGCATCGGTCCCCGATGGTTGTCGATGGCGGCCCCATGCCTATGCTGAAACGCGGGCGCTGCTGATGTGACGGAAGGGCGGGTGGGACTCGGCGAGACAATTTGCGGCATTCCCGCTGTGTTCTTTATTGGTATACATTCCATCCCGCATTCCAGCCCCTGACGAGGGCCACTACGAGAACCCCCAAACACCACCCATCCCAACAACCAAACAAAAAAAACGACATGCACTGCGCAGCAAAATGTTCATCATGCTCGGGAATCCCGCGATCACGAAACAATGACTTACTGACAGAAACGGCGATGGGGGGCATCAGATCGCCGGTCGTGTGTGCAGGCCTACCACTCCTGTCAAATAATCGGTGGAAATGCACGTTGCGGTACAAGATTGGACTATGCGCGGGCGCCACGTGGTCATGTCGCACGATTGACAGGGATGAACGGTGTGCCCTGACAGACGCGGCGCGCCTCGCGGGCGTCGCTCACCTAGCAGGCGTCTGCATGTTTGCCGACATGCGTCGACGGCGGCGACTAACGCCTTTGCTGAGATGAGTCCCTGGTTTAAAACGAAAACCTCCCAAACATAATTTTCGGTGGTCAAAAAACACAGAGACAGTACTCTAGGCTCTGGAGTCGCGATTTGTGCAAGGGGCGTGCCAAAACTAAGCAACCAACCCACTAACCAACCAACCAACCAACCGACCAACCAGCCAGCCAACCAGGCAACCAACCAACGAACCAACCAACCGCTCCAACAACGTGGAATCATCTGTTTGACCTGGCAACTGGACGACGAAGATGACGACGACGACGACGACGACGACGACGACGACGACGACGGCGACGAGGACGACGACGACGACGACGACGACGCCGACGACGACGACGACGACGACGACGACGACTCTTTCTGACGCTTCTGCCGGCGCCGCGAGCGTTCCACCCGCGGTGGGCGATGTGCGCATGGCACTCGCGCACGGCCGCCTTCACCCTGCCCCGCCTGGCCGACCTGCCTCGAAAGCGACCCCTCTTTCCGCCTCCTGCTCGGCGCTGCCGCGCCCCTTCGCCAGGCCCAACTCCTTGACCACCTCCTCCGCCGCGAGCCCCACCTCGAAGAGTCTGCCGACCTTCTCGGACGGCAATCCGCTCAGGAGCGTCTCCGGCGCGGCGCGGCCGCCCTCGGCGGCGCACTCCTCCCACGCGCGGCGGCCGAAGCTCCTCCCCGCCGCCTCGTCTAATAGAGGCCGCCGTCGTGGGCCCGCCCGCGCTCGTGGCGGCGCATCGGCGTGGCCTCGGCGTTCTGCTGCGGACTCGGCAGGCAGGCCCCTCCACCTCCGCGCCGTCGCTGCCCTCGCGCCTCCAGCACGAAGTCCTCGTCCTCCAGGCCGCCTGCCGACAAGACGTTTGTGCCTGATCCATGCCCTCGCCCACGCACGCCCCTGGTTCCCCAAAGCCGTCGAAGCTGTCGGCCGACGGGGGTTCGCACTCGCCGCTCCCGGACTCCGCTTCGACGTCGCCATCCCCGCCATCCTGCTCCTCGGGGTCGTCGTCCTCCGTCTGCTCCATGCTGTTTTCCTCGTGCGGGCCCGCTTTGGCGGGCCTCAGCGCCTCCAGCAACTCTTCGACGTCCCCGCGCCCTGCCAAGCAAAAGTGCCCGCCCGCGCCGCGCACGGAGGGAGAAGCCGCCGCGCTCCACCCCCAGCCGACGCACACGGGGGGCACCTCCGCGGCGCCTGGCGCGCCTCCAGGCGGCCATCGGTCTGCAGTCTGCGCACCAGCGCGCCGCACGCCAACGCTATGCACTGCCCCTTGCCGTCCGCGTGCAGCGCCACGTTCCTCTTCAGGACCTCCTCCCCCGATGGAGCGACGCCCCGCAGCAGAGCCCAGAGAGCGCCGCGACGCGGACAGCCAGATCTGGCTCCACCACGATCGCCGCGCAGCTGTTCCGCACTGCCTGCACAGCTAGACCTGTGCCCTGGCGGCAGCCAGGCCCTGATCCGCAGCCAGCACCGCTCGCCGCCGTGCCGCCATCCGCTCCGCCCGTGTTTTCCTCTACTTTTTGGGCGGCCCGTGGGCGCCAAAGCGTGAGACGGTCAGGCGCCAGTCAACACGAGCGGTGGGCTGCACCGGAAACTGGCAGAGGCACGAGGCAAAACGGCAGAAGACGAGAGCAGAGACAAAGACCCGGACCCCCGACTGTTCCATGTCTTTGATGCGTGGGCCCCGGAGGTCCCGACCACTTCCCCAGGGCCAGTTCTCCGTCCTGAGTCGTCTTTGGCTCGAGGCCGAAAACGGCCGAAAACCGCATGCCCCAATTTTGGGGGGGGCATCGGATGTCTGGGACCAGACCGTGCAGGTCGGCGCGGGAGTGCTGGGTTGTCTTCCTCGACGCCTGCACCGCTCTAGAATCGCCGTCGGGCAGCCCTGCCCGCGCCACCGTGCCCGCGCCGACCGCACCCGCCGCTCGGGGGCAGCAGTGGAGCCCGCCGAAGCCAAAATGGCCAGGGACGCCGACTACAAGACCGACGCCGACGTCGACGCCGACGCCGACGCGGACGACGACGACGACGAGGACGATGACGACGACGACGACGACGACGACGACAAGGACGAGGACGAGAACGAGGACGAGGACGAGGACGAAGACGGCGACGGCGACGACGACGAAGATGACAGAATTGAATGGAATGGATCGGAATGGAATGGAACGGAATGAGGCGGAACGGGACGAGATCAGAAGCACAGACAAGGGACGGCGGCTCCGTTCCGTTCCGTTCCAATCCAGCCCGTTCCATTCGAATCCATTACATTCCATCCCATCCCGTCGCATCGCATCCGATCCAATCCCATACTATATTGTCCTATTTTCTTGAATTCCATTCCGTCGTCGTCGTCGTTCTCGTCATCGTCGGCGTTTTCGTCGTCGTCGTCGGCAACGTCGTTGTTTTCGTCATTGTCGTCGTCTTCGCTGTCGTCGTCGTCGTCGTCGACTCCGTCGTCCTCGTCATCATCGTCGTCTTCTTCGTCGTAGTCGTCCGTGGTCGTCCGTCGCCGTCGTCGTCGGCCGCAGCGCTGCTGCGTGGCAAATCGAGTTGGTTAGTCCCCCCCCGCGTTCCCACGTGGCGAGTAGGAGTAGGAATGTTGTGTTCCGCCCCGCGACGATAACACGTGAAGAATACCGAGGAACAGTCATTGTTTGGCCCCCAGGCAGGCGCTGCTACATGGCAAAGTGAATGCCATTGTAAGTTCCTCGGCCCCCGCGGCGATGCCACGTGACGAGTACGAATGTACGAATCATTTTTCGCCCACCCCAGGCGTTGCCAGTGGCGAATGTAGTGGAATAGTATGAAAGGGCGCTGGGACACACAAATAAATACACACAAATAACCCAAGTTTCCCATGTGTTCGCATATTGTTTTTGGTTTTGCCTTCCCCCCTACTTCCCACATTTTCCCATATTCTCCTGGGAGAGGACGATGAGTTGTGTCTGTGTGTGTGTGTTTCCCCCTCCTGCTAATATTTTGTGCACACACGAAAAAGGCCCCCGCCCCCTACATGGGGAACTCTACGAGCAGCGGGACCGTCAAACGACGCGCGAACTGAAAGCGGAAGCTGCTCGACGGTCGTCGTTCAACGACAACGCCGCGACATTCGATACGAACGGCGCGCTGCTGCCGTGCGCATTGGCGCTTGAACTTGGCGTTTTTTTGCGCTGGCACGCGGTCCATGCCCAAAATCGTTGTGGTGGACATTCGCGCGCTCGTGCCACTGCAAAAACCAATGGGCGCGTCGGCCCTCGGCGGCGCTGGCAAGAACCCAACGCGGCGCCCAAAGCCCGCCCCGCACGGGCGCGCGTCAAAAAAAAATAGATCCACCCCAAAAGCAAAATTCAGGCACCAGGCGGAAAATGTATGTACACTCCCTCAAAAATCAATAAAGCTTCTCCCAAGCAGAAAGTCTCGCGCGGGAGAGCCCCGAAAAGTTTATATAAACAGAAAAACGCGGTCATATAAACGCCAAGAAACTGTATATTGGACCAGTTGCCTCAAGAGAAACGCTCCCGATCTGAACTTTTCCGCCGGCGGGGCCAGGAGGGGGCGACGGGGGCGGGCGCGGGAGCCCTCGGCTGGGCCAGCGGCGCTGCCGCGCGAGGGACAGCGCCGCCGTCGCCTCAAACTGCGAGCCGCGGCCGTGGCACGCGCCGCCCTGGGAATGCCGGCGCGGGCGCGGCCGCGTCGAGCGGGCCCAGGACATCGCCGCGTGCGCGGGGTCCCCCTGCGGCAGCTGGCAATGGTCTCGCAGACAGGGCGCCTACACTTCCGCTCATTCGCCGTAAATGCAAAACGCCGACATGCAAAATCCATAGATGTGGGGGCTGGGATCGGTTTCCCACTGTTCATGCTGTCTTCGCCCCACCCACCCACCGGCGTTGTCACACGACGAGCAGGTGGAATAGCATTATTGTTCGCCTTCCAGGCGTTGCTACGTGGCGAATAAGACGGGCTACAACATGTTGTGCCCCAAGGCGTTGCCATGTAACGTGTAGGATGTTCCGTTTCCGCTGTGTTGCATTGGAACTGCATTGCATTGCATTGCGTTGGATTGCATTGGCATTAAATTACGTTTGCATTGCATTGCAGTGCAGCGCAAGGGCAGCGCGTTGCGTTGCATTGTACTCGTAATTGCACGGGAGCTTGTTTACAGACAAACCAAATACGAGTTGACCACCAACAAACGCCCAAAGTGGCCAACCAGCCCAACGATCAGCAACAAACCAGCCTGCCTACCAAACAACCAGCCAACCAAGCAGCCAGGTAACCAGCTAATCAACCAACCAACGAACCGACCAACCCATCCCGTGGCATGATTGAGGATACCTCACACCGCGGGGCCAGGATCAGATTTGCTTAACCCAACAGTCAGCGAGATAAAAATGTTGACCCGGCAGCCAAACGGCTAACCAACCAGCAAGCCGGCCACACTTTGGGGCGCTGCTTGAGAATGTCTCACACAGCGGGCCCTGGAATAAAATGTCTTGACCCCGAGTCCGCCACCGTGCCGCTCTGCATGGAGCGGGCGTGCCCTCAGGTCCGTTGCCTCATCCCCAGAGCCTCAATCCTCGATCCTGAGGGTTCTCAAGGCCCCAGACCCCGAATCCACAAATCTCCATGGGCTCACCCGCATGACCCATGGACCTCGGATCCTCTCCCGGCGTGACATTTTCGGGCTCAAGAGGGCGCCAAGACGGGCCAAGAGGGCCCCAAGAGGCCCCCAAGACGGTCCAAAGAGGCCCCGAGTGGACGAACGATCGTTCCAAGACGCCCAAGATGGATGGCCCCCAGACGGCCCCAACGGCGTCCATCTAGGACGATCCAAGAAGTTTCCAAGATTACTCCCATGAAGGCCCCAAGAGGCGAAATTAATTGATGTGACTTCAATTATTGAACATATTTTGCTCTCGCGCATTTTCGGCTTTCCGACGCTCCAAAACGGCCCAAGAGCCCTCCAAGACCGGCCCAAGACTGCCCAAGGGCACCAACACGGCCCAAGAGGGCTCCCAGACGGCCCCAGAGACGCCCCAGACGGCCCAGTGGAGCCCAAAGTCAACCCAGAAGGGCCAAGAGGGTGAACTTGAACCGAAAATCCGCTGCTTCCGCCCCAAGGGGGACCCAGGAGGCCCCAAGGAGGCCCCAAAAAGCCCCCAAAAGACCCACAACAGACCCCCAAGAGGCCCCGAAGAGGCCTCGAAAAAGCCCAAAAACGGCCTCCAAGAGGCTCACAACGGCCCCCAAAAGGCCCCTGAGAGGCCTCCAGCGACATCCCAACGAGCCATATGACCCACAACACAGGCACGATGGCGGTATGGGCCGAAGGCCAGTCGATGAATGTTAGCCAGCGTGGACCCCAC